TGATCAAAATACATTATGTGATTGAAACCCCCTCAAAAGGTGAAACCCTCTCAAAAGAAGGGAGAGGAGGGCAGGAAGGGTAATGAGTGGGAAGGCATAAAGTATAAGGGGTATTTAAAATATATGGTGAATGTTTAAAATAAATTATTACAGCAAGAGACACATTGCCATTAATTCCCCTAAAAATACTCCCCCTTGCTTCCAACGCAGTATTTTTACAAGGTGTGATAACAACATATGGAGAATGCTGCTGCCACGTGCCATCCGATAGCACAGCAGGCTCAGGTGTGTTCCAGATGAGGGGAAGTATTTTGAGAGGGGTTAATGGTGATGTGTGCTGTACTGCAATAAGCTTTAAAAAATTTAAACGTTTGCTGTATAGCACCATGCATGCAATGTGCGTGTACGAAACTGCCAAAATGAAGCCCTGTATAACAAATATGTACTTATGAGAAATGTGGGAAAATGATTTCCCTAAAGAGCCAGGGACAGGCACGAAGAAGGAAGAACTAGTTCAGCCTTATCTCTGCTTTTAAACAAGGCCTTTCTAGTTTGCTTTAAACTGTAGTTCCTCCACCCGAACTCTTTTCTTTGTTTCTTTCCTTCATAGCTGCTCTGCCTCCCCCTCGGCCCACCAAGCCCTCCTTCGGAGACTTGTTCTGCATTGAGTGGTCCACTCTCTGAATTCCTGAGAGCCTGGGGCTCAGAGTGTGCTTCCTGGGGACTGTGGGCTCCTCAAGGACAGGAAGCACACCTGGGCCTGTGCCTGCCTCTCCAGCACCGAGGGAGGAAAAGGAAGAAACTCAGGGGTGAGGTCGAAGGCCACCATCTTGCTGGGACATTGTTCTGGTGGATACATTCAATCCTTCCAGAGTCGCTGGATGGTGTCTTATAATAAAAACTAAAAGTTTAACTTCTGTGTAGTAGGCACAACATGCAAAAAATAAATTGCCGTAATTATTATTAGCATTTTCTTACTAACAGATTTCTCAGAAGCTGTTTCCATATCAAGCAGATCGACCTTTCTGTTGTCATAGAGACAAAGATCTTTATATAACCATGGGCAAGGTGAGATTTTTTTTTTTTTCTCTCCTTTCTTCCAGTTGCCTGGAACTAACAAGAAAAAGAAAGGAAAGGAAAAATTTTAAATCAATTATGTTCATCTACTTTTCCCCCTCAATCAACAATGAAAATGCAGGAGGTGATTTCTGGTATCATATTTTAGATTTTAAGTACCTAGTTTTTTTTAATGAGACGTGGAAGGAGAGGAAAGGCATGAACAATTTGAACAGTGGCATTTTGAAAATTTGCAAGCAGGGTGCTTGTCAGAGATAAGCATTTACAATCCTTTTTCTTCTTCTTTTTAAACCAAATAGTGAATTTTAGATGAAGGTCTTAGAAGGCAGAGTTATCAAGGCCTGAAGCAACTAAAGCATAAACTAGCATCTACTGAGCGGCGGATGGATTGTAGGGTCTTCTGGAGGATTCCCTCTCTCCCCCAGGGCCTGGCCTACTCTCCTTTCTCTGCAGAGCCAAATCCTTCGGGTGAATGAGTACAACAGCACTCTCTGTCCAGAAGCCTGGTCTCATAATTTCAGGTCTCTTCTTTCTATGAACCCTTGATAATTAGTTCTTCGTAGCATTTTCTATCTTGTAGCGATTATTTACTGTTTAATTCTCTCATACTCAAGATTGGGAGCTTCAGCAGGAGCCTGTCCTTTGCCTTGTTTCTGAGTTATACCTTTACCCATCATCTTCTCAGGACAGAACTATCCTTACCAGCATCAACCCTTCCCCTGTGTTCTCAGACTTCGGCCTCCCTTCCACCCCCTTGGTCCTGTAACAAACATGACTCCTCCTTCATCCTTGTGTCTTCAGTCTGTCTCATGGATTCCTTCCTCTAGTCCTCTTTTTTGTTGTTGTTGTTATTGTTTTGTGGTTTTGTTTTTTGCATTTTGGTTTTTGAGACAGGGTCTTGCTGTGCAGTTCAGGTTGGCCTTGAACTCACTATGTACCAGGAGATCCTCCTGCCTCAACCTACCAAGTGCTGGGGTTACAGGTGTGCATCACCATGCCTGGCCCTCTAGTACTCTTTGAAGAAAAAAAATAAAAGAAAAAACTTCCCTCCATGTTGCTTATTCTCCGTCTATCTCTGAATTTGAGGTTTTAACTTTATACATGTCAGTAATAAATAAGTGTTGTGTATATCAGGGAGCGTGTGGCCTGAGGGAGTTTCAAATATTCCTTTTGCTCTCGAAGAAGCTGGTACCTCCACAGAGAGTAGCGCCTGAGTCCTCAAGCTTTAGTGCGCTTGAGAATCCCTGGGGGAGTCGCTACACCGCACACTGCTGGGTGCAGCCCCCAGAGTTTCTGACTCAGGGTGCTGGTCTTGGGGCAGGGCCTGAAAGGGAATCCTCTTGGGACCTGCTGGCCTAGGATCCCACTCTGAGAAGCATTGCTTGCAGCAACAACCCTGCTACTGCTTGTCAAGTGGATGTCAGTGTCACTGTGTTGTGCCTCCGTTACTGTTTTGGCCAATGTGGGCTCTGCTTCTGTAGGGTTCTCCCCTGAATGACAAGGTCACCACCTTATCAGCTGGTCCGCAGGAAACATGGGCTACCTGGGCCCAGGGCTCTGAATGTCTAGAAGAGGATGTGTCCAGTGCTGGATGCTAAGAGGGCCAGGGGAGGGAGGAAGTTAGAGAGTCTCCAGAATCTCTTGTGAGTAGCAAAGGGCTTTGGAGCCTGGAGAACTCGGCCAGTTTTGAGAACTAGTTTGCCAGCTCTATTTTTAGGGTGCCCATCTCCTACTCACCTCCACCCTAGTCAGCACTGTAAAGCACCTCCCCCCCCTTCTCTTCTCTCTCTCTCTTTCACACTGGGGATTGAACCCATGACTTTTACACTGAGCTACATCCCTAGACCTTTTCACTCTTTTGTTTTGTTTTGAGGCAGGGTCTTGTTAAGTTGTAAAATTGCCCAGGCTGGGTTTGAACTTGCTATCTTTCTGCTTCAGCCTCCCTGAGTGCAGGGATTGGGTTTCCAGGCTTCTTTAAACTATCCTGCAGGGCAGCAGATACTGTGTTTTGTTTTTTCCCCTTCAGCTTTCTTTAAGGAAGGAACCCAGGGACTATTCCCCAAGGCCAACATGAGTGTGGGGCAGGAGCCTTGGAGATAGCTCAGGGGAAAGCTGAGTGCGGGACTGGGGACTCAGCTCGCCCATCCTTCCCCTCCCCACTACAGGGAGTCCTCCACCCAGCACCAAGCCTGGACAAATTGGGAGTAGGTTTGCTTTTCAATTTTTAGTTAAAGAAGAAGTGATTTTCTTACAAAAACCAGCAAACACGATAAGATGATTAATGCGTAAATTGCTATCTTTGCTGAAGAGTAGCTGTGGGGTTTTTTGTTTGTTTTTGGTACTGGGGATCCGAACCAAGTTCTTGGCAAGGGCAAGTGCTCTACTACTGAGCTCCATCTCCAGCCCAGCCGTGGGACCTTGAGCAAGTTACTCCAGCTCTCTGCCTCTTAGCTTCTGATCTGCAGAAGTAGCAAGTGAGTGAGGGAGGCTGTCAGTGGAGCAGTTATTCCTAAGAGCAACATGGGAGACTTGTCACAGAAGGCAAGTGTCATGGATCTGTTGATTGATTGAAACAAATTCTATCAGCATGGTCGTCAGCTTTGGGGAATGGAGCTGACAAGATAATTAATGGAAACTAATTAATATAAACCCCTCAACCCTTAAATGGTTCCTCTCAACTACCACTATTCCTAGGCCATTAACTCTTCCCCAGGGGAAGCCCAGCCCTGCAGAAAGGGCGAATCCCCTCCCTGAAGCCTGGTTCCTTGGGGACCCCAAGGAATTGGGGTCTCTTTCCTTTCCTACCAAAGAACCTCATTGTCTCAAAGGGCTGGAACATAATGAAGACTTCCGCCAGCCTGGAGTCTGTGGGTGCTTTTGTGGTATTACCCTACTTTCCCTTTCTAACAGTTTTATTGAGATACAAGCCACGTGATATAAAATAGACCCATTAAAAGTATACAATGTGCCATGCTTTTTATTACGTTCACATATTATGCAGTCATCGCCACAATCTAATTTCAGAACATCTTCATTGCCCCAAAACTCATGCCTATTAGCAGTCACCCATTGCTCCCCCGTCCTTGGGAACTGCTAATTACTTTCAGACTCTCTGGCCATTTTCTATCAGAGTCATGTAACAGGGAACTTTTTCCTAAATGGAAGACACACTCTGGGGCTCCTCCTCTTTACTCCGTCTTTCGGGAAAGGCTTCCCGGCCCAGCATAGACGCCTGTCACCCAGCCTGGAGGTGGGGGGACCAAGCCTCAGGGTGTTAGCTCCTAGCGCGAGGTGCAGGTGGCTGGGATGGGACCTGCTGCTTACGCCCCAGGATCAGGTGGGCCTGGGCATCCTTGATGACAGAGCAGGTTCCCTGACCCTGGGCCTAGCGCTCCCTTCCTAGAGGAACGCGGGGTGCAGGGCCAGCAGTGACCTCCACTGCCCCGCTGCTGGTCAGGGAGCATCAAGCATGTTTCCCCAGCGGAGGCGCAGGCAGCAGGGCTGTCCTGGCCCGGACCGTGCCCCTCCTCGGGCAGGGGTGGGGCTGGGCTGCCTTGGCTCTGGGGTCACCCTGGGGGGCGGGGAGCCTCCGGCGTATCTCTCCCCAGCCCCAGCAGGGCCAGGAGCGGACGGGGACCCCGCGGGGCGGCTTACTCACAGTCGGAAGAGGCCGGCCAGGGGCCCGGGGCAGCGCAGGGCGCCGTGGGCAGCGCAGCTGCAGGGCTGGGGACAGCGCGCTGCGGGCAGCACCGCGGGCAGCAGGAGCAGGAGCAGCGCCGGCCACCGCCGTCCCATGGCCCTCGAGCCACACTGCGGGTCCGTGGCAGCCGGCCGGCGTCCCATGGCCGGAGCGCCAGCCCCGCCTGTCCCGCTCCGGCCCGCCCTCCCCTCCTACCGCGCCCCCGGCCCCTGCTCTGTTCCACCTGGACCGCAGCCAGCGCCCATCACCCTCCTGGAGCTTCACCCTGACCGTCCTGTCCTCTGCATCTGCAGATTGCCCCGTTCTAGGAGGGGGAGGGCAGTGTGTAGCCAGTGATTTGATAAGAGGAGTGGATTCTGAATTTCCTGTTCTGTGGCCCCCAGGAGTGGGGAGCTGGGTGATGGTGGGCTTCCCGACAGTGTCTTTTTTCATCAGTGAAGGGGTAGGGCGGATGAGTGGCAAGCCACGTCAGTGGGAGTGAAAGTGCTGGCTCACAGGTCTCGCCTCTTCATCCACAGCCTCGAGTCCTTCCCCTACTCCCTCACCAAGTCGCCCTGCACCACAAGCAACCACTTTCTGCCCAGCTTCAGCCATCTCTCTTGCTGGTAACTACTCTCCTTCTTACAGTGAAGCTAGCTGGGTTTCTCCTGTACCTCCACTATAGATTGTGAGGTCCTTTTGAGCAAAATCCAATTCAGATTTATTTTTGTTTTCCTTCTGGCCTCTCCATGGTAAGTCCTCAACAAAGATGTTTTGAATGAATGATCGAAATGGCTTTATTATGCACAGCAGCTGGCCCAGTGGAAGGCCCAAATCATGTGCAAGCTTCATATCGAACTAGCAGGGCATTTACAGCAAGAATATGATGACCTGGGAGATATGTGACTTCCCTGAAGTCACCCAGCTGGCGAATAGAGGAGCTCTGAACTCGTCTGTCACCCACTGCCTCTCACCATTGCAGACTCCACTCTGTGATCTATCTGCTGAGGGCCTGGGAAAGGAGACCGACTGGGTTATATGGGAGCCATGGGGATGCATCATTGTCCCTCTAGTTTGCTGATTAAACATTGTTCCTTCAAACCTCAGCTTGGGCTCTGGAAATCTGCAGTTATTGATGAAAGAAGTGGACTTTCAGAGCTGGCAGGTAGCAGCTCGGGAAGCTAAGAAACAGCTTTCTTTCTTCCTGAGCCAATTCTCAAGAGCAGACTCCTTCAGTCCCCAGTCTGCAGTCCCTTGCTCAAGGACGGTAATTATTATTATTTAAAGAAATCACTTGGCTTTGGCCACAGAATCAATGCTTCTGTCTGTAATATGTTCTTTTCTGGATTTCTCTCTCCACAGTGTTGTACCTCTTACCTATACTATCCCCATTACTCAAAATGAGTTTTTCTCCCTCCCCCTTATTCCTTTAGGTAAAATCCTGGTTGCACTTTAGACTCAGTCCAATGTCATTGTCATTGTGAGCCCTCTCTGACTTAACACAGCATAGTAATTGTGGCCATAGCACCTGATTCTATAGCCTGTAATACAACAAACTGTAATTGAGGGTATAACTTTGCATTCCTTGTATTGTGAGGGCCTAGCATAACTCCTGGTTCTTAATAGGTGCTTTCTATATATCTGTTGAACAATAGACTGAATAAATGAAACCCGAGATCAGCTCTGTAGTAGATGCTTGGTAAAGTACTGTATATGAGAAGAGCTTACCAGCATTGCTTGGTTTATTCTCAGACATACTGGATCTATCTGTATACGTATCAAGTAATTACCCATGATTACTTTGGGGTCTTGTCTTCTCTCCTATCCACTAGGAGAACAGAACTGTCAGGATACTTGAATTTTCCCCCAGTTCAGCCATCAGCCAAATGACTTGGCTTCTGGTTTCTTTATCTGTATGAGGAGGGATTGGCATTCACAACCCCTAAGGCTCTTTTGTCCCTACAACATATGGACTTTGAGAGCATTTCTTATAGTATTGCCAAGGGGAAGGAATCAGGATGTGTCAATTAACTTTTCATAGTTTATCATGGATTGGAAATAAAATCCTGTTTTTGAAGAGGTGAGCTTGTTCATGTGGAGGAAAGCTCACAACTCTAATGAGTTTTTATAAAATTTTGTTGATTAATTTCAGTTGGACCTTAATTATCACCAGTCAATTCTTTGAAATGTATACATTATAAGAAAATCAGATTGAATTTTTTTGTTATAATCACAAAAATTATTATGGTAGAATTTATATTTCCTGGGCCGGGGATTTAGCTCAGTGGTTTTGCTGCTTGCTGTGCAAGCACAAGGACCCGAGTTCAATCCCCGGTACCAAAAAAAAAAAAAGAATTTATATTTCCTATTCATTAATATATGACCTACTTGAGTGTTTTTAAATCTGAAGAATTTTTGTCTTATGCAACTATGTGTATTACTACTTTTGTCACCAAACTTCAAAACAGCATGGCGCATAGGATTGCTAATTATGTTTTACTGACAAAATAAAGTTCATGGAATGCATAAGAAGTCTATCCTACCTTGGAGAAATAAAAATATCTGCCAATACAACTAGAAATATGAATAAAACTCTTCAAAATTTTGAAACAGGGCTTCTCATACTTTGAGTACAGAAGTTTAATTTGTAAAGCTTAAAAATGCAAAGATTCCTGGGATTTCCCTGAAGAGATTCTAGCTCAATAGATATGCAGTGAGCCCTGCAACCTGCATTTCAACAAGCTCCCCCCTGCTATTTTGAAGCATAGGGTTCCCAGAGCACAATTTGAGACATACTGAAATGGGAATTCTAGAACTGAATTTGCCTTAGAAAAGATAAAAGCTCAAGAGTTCTCAGTAAGGACTATGAATGAATCCTGAAGGTTTTGATGCATTGTTAAAGAAACCTGACGTGTTGAATCACATCCGTAAAAATAGTGTGTGCTTCAATGTTTAAAATTACTCAATTGGTTGTATTGCTGAGGCTTGTTATTTTGAGTAACAATCAGTTTATTTATTCTAATTTTATTTATTTTTGGAATAAGCAATGTCACAAGATCATAGAATCCATTTTCTTTATGGCCCATTGGGTCAAGACTCAATAGCGCTTGATATCACACTGACATTGGAGTTGGAGGAATTTAGCAAAATAATAATAATGGTATAAAAAACACCATTCAATAGCATAGGCAAACTTTTCTGATTCTTGAGCACTTACTCTGTTAGTACTATAACTGGGATTTCTTCCCTCATAAAAGCAGTGGTTTTATTTTTCCCTCAGAAGAAAAGGTGAATATAGGGCAAATGAAGAAAAAAAAATGTGTGAGAAAAGAAAAACAGAGTTATATCTTTGAACTGTTCACCTTGCTACATGGAACAAAAGACAAAGCAAAACAAGGAGAACAAAAAAGATAATCCTACATGTCATGTTCTGAGATTCCATGCGACCTTTCTGTTGCTTGGAAATTCATCTCGATTTCTCTGTCTACATAGTGTGAAATCAGAGATGTGACCAGTTGTGTCATCTCCAGTGTCATCCTGGGGTTCTCATGGGCAGGAGGAAAACTTGAAGCTGCAGGCTCTGGCACTCTGATGGGCTGGATTGGGATGGGATGACTGGCCTGGATCATCAGAGTCTTCTCTTTGAGTTATGGAGAGAGAGAGAGCAAGCTGCTCGAGCAGTGTGGCCTTTTCACTCGTGTTGCAGAAATGATGTGAATGAATTGGGGGCAGCTGCCTCCCTTGTCTCATGCAAAATTCCTGTCTGCGCTGGCAGTGATTAACACTCTGGAGAGGTGAAAAACAGATGGGGGCAAGATAAATCTTGGGAGTGTCTTTTGGCTGTGTGGAACTGGTCATGCCTGAGGCCAGCTCCACACCTGACTTCCCAGGTTGTGAGTCAGAGAGCTCCTTCTGCTTAAGCTAGTTGGAGTTGAGTCTCTGTCGTGTGCAACCAAAACCCTCATCTTTACTATCTGCCTTTCTGTGGATTTTACTTGACTTGTCCACTTCCTCCAATCCTTATCAGATAAGAGGGAATTGGGTTTCTTTACTCTTGTCTCTGTCACAGGATTCCTCATATCCACAGTAAGTTTTCCCCCATTGCATCAGCAGCATTTATCGGGATGCTTCTGGGAATGAACAGGTTGGGTGCGAATGGAGGAGGGTGGTGCACAATGAGGTAGTATCCAGAACCATGTTAGGGTCTTTTCTAGGGAAGCTGCATTTTGCTAAATAAGTCACCAAACATTTTTTTCATAATAGGTAAGGCCTCTTATTAAACTGTGACCCTGGTTTAGAAATTAAACTTCAAGCTAAAGTATTAGATAGACCCAACACAAGGAAAGAGGAAACTTTCTGAAATGATGATAGAAGTCAACAGGAAAGTAGGATTTAATTTTTAAGAACTTGATGTACAGTTAATCCAAGTGTGTGCTATATATATCAGTTCCCCAACAGGCTAATTGGCAGTATTGAGGGAGAAAGTGTCAAAGCCCATGAAATTTGGGGGAAAATTTAGTTCCAAAAGTTAAATAAAGTGCTTTACTAGAGAGTTTCTCAGAACTTCTAATATACATTCTGGATCTCTAAGAAGGCCTTAGTTCCTGCACGGGCCTGCAGTTACTTTGAGATCTTTTGAAAACACTGAAGACACTTGGTGAATACACTTGGCGCGATGCACTTTGAGAAAACAGATTTATTCACACACATTCAGATACCTGGGTTTTATGGCAAGGGCCCCCACCACACACACACTGACACAATCACACTGACACACACATACACACACACACTGGCCTATAGCTGGAGGTGTCCTTAGTACCTGAACAGCGGCCCCACTGTAAGCCCCCGTCCTTCTCCCTCAAGGTCCAGAAATTCCTCATCAACAATATTCTGTTAGGCCAAGCATTGCCCTTTCAAGGCCCCAGTTTGAAAATGAGACATACAGCACTGGGTGGGAGCACTCTGAGCCAGTTGTACCTGCGTCAGAATTATTTATTTGTCAGATTAGTTTGGCAGAGGGAGGGTACTGGGAATTGAGCCCATGGCTGTTCCACTGATCTACATCCCCAGCCCTTTTTTATTTTGAGACAAGGTCTCGATAAGTTGTTCAGTTGCCCAGGCTGGGCTCCAATTTGTGATCCTCCTGCCTCAGCCTCCCAGAGTACTAGGATCACAGGCATGTGCCACACCAAGTTTGTGAAATAAGTTTTGAAGAGCCCAGGATGGCATGAAGACACTGGGCATGTAGAACTTAGGAATGTCCTCCCAAGGGGGAGAGGAGAGATTCTGTTGGAAGCTTTCTTCTGTCAGAGCTGTGCCAGGAGCAGACCCTATGAATGACTCGGATGCATTCAAAACAGAGTTTAGGGAGACAGAGAAACCTGTATGTTACCCTTGGCTGTTTTGTGTGGATGGGACAGCCCTCGCTTCTCACCCTCCACCTCTCATCCTGTTTGGGGCTGCTTGCTTGGGGCCAGCTCTATGACAGATGTATCATCCCTCTATCTCGTGCGCATAACATCTGTCACACTGGGTTTCTCCTTCTGGACACTACCTGGAATGCAGACAAGCAGGGAGGCC